GCACAGGCCTCCTGCTGCCTGCCACCTAAGGGAGCACAGGCACTGCCACTCCACAAGGGAGCCACTCCCTCAGTCTAGTCCTCTGTGCCTTTGTCCTCCCTCTCCCCCAGCTGCCTGGGCTCCGAAGGAAAGGCCTGATATGTTACAGGAGTTCCTTCAGTGGGCCCCTAGCATGAGCCTGAGGATAAGTCTGGGCATGCTCATGCCTTGAATCCAGCCACCATGTATGTATAGGTCTCTCTTCTTGGACTCCTCACACCATATCAGAGCGCCACCTTGTGCCCCAGTATGCTACTGGGCCCTAGGGACCAGGTCATACCACTCCCAAAGGAGTGCAGAGCCCAGTGGACTGTCCCTTACTACGTACCTACTGTGTGCCACTAGAAGTGGCTCAGCTCACTCTACAGCACCTCTCCCACGTAGAGCTTAATACTCCCATCCTGCAGGTGAGGACTCTAAGCTCCAAGGGAAGAACGCCTTGCCTAAGTGCAATACTTTTCATCTCAGCTGTTGAGCATGGTTGGGGGTTAGGTTGCTGGGCGCAAGGTATTTGGAGGTGGGAGGTTTTTGGGTACCATGGACACACAAAGTCTTCCAGGGGGAGCCAGAGGTTAGGCCTGGGGCAGAGCCCACTGAAAGGGATAGGTGACCATACATGGCCTAGAGTGGCCATATCGGGTTCCAGAAGTCTAGGACAAGTTCAAAGAGAGCAGATAAGAACTCCTGGGTCCTCCACTCCACCCCACTCAGTGACCTCTCTGACTTCCACTCACCTATGTTGAGCCCTTTGACTGCCATCTGCCAGGTGACTGTCATCATAAAGCTGCATGTGTGTGTCAGCTGCCACAAATGGCAGGACACAGTGCTTACTCATACATGATGGTCCTTCTCTTCTGAATTGCGGTGTGCTGGAATACATTCCTGTAAACCCTCCCAACACGGTGCAGAGAGACGTAGGGCAAGGGTCTTGTGGTCAGCTCATGTGACACTGGCCTTGAAGGCAGGCAGGGCAGCAAGGCCTCTGCACATCCCGGGAGTACAGCCAGACCCACTCGCTAATAGGCAGAGCACGCCCAGGCCTTTTTCCTTCTGATGCTCCCTGACAAAGCCCATTAGTGCCCCTGGGAACCTCTCTATCAGTGGAGCTGCTGGCAAGCCACTTCCTGCCGGCTCCTCATCTTCCTTTCCCATCCCCTCTCTTCCAACCCCTGCCATTCAGTTTTTTCCTCTGATTGTTCTTAGTCTGACCATGTGCCTCTCTCCCTGCTGTGCTGGGGCCTCTTCATCCCCATCTGCTGACTGCTGGTGCCTGGTGACTTGCAGCTTCTGAGGGACTTTAATCACTAGGTCTCCCAGCCAATTGTAAAAGTGAGATTCCTAGTTCTTGGTTGCTGAGATTCTGCCCACTCCTGCCATACCTGGGTACCTCACCCACCAACCTGCTCTAACCTTGTCAGTTCTCAGGGGTTGTGAGCATGTAGCCCCTCATTCTTGTGCTGTCCTGGCTCACCCCACTCTAAGGATATGGTGAAGTGAGCCCAGGACCGCTGGCTCCTGTGCCTCCTCCAACCTGTGCCACCTGCAGCCTTGGACCTCCTGGCTACCTGTCAGTGTTGCCCTGGATCTTACATCACACACTGCTGCCAAATGTTGCTCCAACACCTATGCCAGGACCCCTGCCTCTCTACCTCCAGAAACTTGCTGAGACAGGCCCCAGCAGGTCCAGGCTTCCCCTCACCCGAGCGTCCCCCCATCCCAGCTTTGTCTACTGGTCAGAAATGCAGTGGCCTCCTTGCCCTGCTGTAGAGCTGTTCCTAGGGACAGATGGCCACCCAGCACTGCCACTTGATCTACAGAGGATTAAGTGCTCCCCTGAGGGGCAGGGTGGGTTGCTAACCCCCAGGGGCACCCTTGTGGCCATGCCATGAGGAGACAGGTGTTTCTTTACTTCACAGTTCACTTTCAGATCTTTCTTGGCCTCCATTATCTGGGACTATGCAGCCACCCAGATCTTCAGGGTGCATAAAGGAAGAGACTGATACCCAGAGGTGTCTCCAACTAGAGACCTGTGGGCTTTGGGGCTAATGGTATGCGGCACTGTGGAAGGCCTGGGGAGATGGGAGACAGCACTCCTCAGGAGACTCTGCAGTGGGGGAGGGGCTCTGTGCCATGGATTAGAGGAAGGCACTGTCCACAAGGGGCCGTAGATGGCTTAGTACATGTACGTAAGGTGCATACATATATGGGTTCTGTGGGAGAAGTGGCTTGAGCCAGGTAGGGATGTACCCTGAGGCCTGAAGAGGAGCTGAGACCAGTGGGGAGTTCACAGTAGGCACAGCATGACTGCAGTTGGGGAGACCCACATATTAAAGCTGGCCAGGGACCTGCCAGCTGGACTTCAGGAAACAGGGTCTTTTATGAGCAACTGGGAACTCAAGACAATAAGAGAGTCAGAAGAACTGGGACAGGATGGTAGAGAAAAGGTACCTGTTCTGATGTGGCAGTGTGGGCTAGGTCATGGGAGGCAGGACTGAGTGCCACCCACTCTATTCCCATGTGGTCCCAGTGGCCACCGAGGTCCATTCCCCCCAGGAGGGCACATGGCCTGCCCTGAGCCTAGCCAGGGCTTTTCCATTCCTGAGTAATGTGGAACTCTCTCCCTGGAGCTGGGGCTGTGCCAGTCCATGCCCAGGTGGGACAGACACACATGACTCTGAGAAAGCCATCCTACTCCTGAGTCTGTCGCAGGCTGGACTTGTGAGAACTGCCACCTTCCCATCTCGTAATGGGCAAAGCAGGGTTAGGCCAAGCAGCCTGGCTCTGCACATGACTGTGAGTGGTGGTGGCTGCTCACTCAAGCATGGGGCACTTAATTAAGTGACTCACTGTGGCATGAGGGTGTCAATGTGTACCGAGTCACTGGTCATCAGGGTGGAGAACCTCTCCTGCATGTTGGTGAAGCACAGAGGACACTCACAGGTACACTGGTAGACATTGCAGGCTGCTTGCCAGGCATTATCCTGAGCACCTGGCTTACATGACCTCATTTCATTCTCATCGACCCTTTGGTAAGGTATTATTATAATCAGTTCACAGAAAAAAGGCACAGAGAGGCTGAGCAACCTGTCCAGGGATGCACAGCTTGTCAGTAGTGGATGGAATTTGAAGCAGTCTGGCTCCAGACACTGCATTTAACCCCCCTACTGGTATTGAATTGGTGGTGGTGGTGGGAATTCTGGGCAGTTAAGGAATGCTTTCTCCCCTCCTGACACCCCTCAGTCCAGTTGTCATTATTAATGGAGTGGAGGCAGGCTCTGTCCCTGTCCTGGCAGGACCTAGCTCATCTAGGGGCACAGGCATGTGAGCAGAGTATGAGTTTGGAGACAGGATATTGATGCTGTGGAGTGCTAAGGGTGTGAGGGAGTGGAGCAGAGTCTAGGAAGGCTTCTCAGAGGAGGTGACACATGACCCAACTTCAAAGATGTACAGGAACTTGGGGGAGAAGGGTGGGACAAGCCCAAACCAGTGGTCCTTCTCAATTAAGGGGATGAAGCTGGGGTTCAGGGCCCACACACAGAAGGTTGTCCTTGCTTGACTGAGCAGGGAGGGGCCAAGAAGAGGTTAATGGATTGGAACTTCTGATCCTCTTACAGGCTGACTATCCTGTGTGGAAAAGACCTGGGCAGGGATGGGACTCCTGGGAGACTGCACCCTCCAGAGGAGCAGATCTGAGTTCTTCCTCACAGCTTCCCCCAAGCTGCTAATCTGCCCCATAGCCTCAGCAGCTTCCCAGAGAATGGATCCAGGAGCAGAGGGGTGAAAGCTAGGAGAAGCCTAGTGTTTATGAAAAGCATGCATTTGCATGCCTCTGAAGCCCGGTTCCCTGGAAGTAGCATGGTGAGGTCTGCATTTACCTACCCCAACAGGAGGGGGGATGGATGAGGGAGTTTGGAGAGGCAGCTGTGGTACTTCTTTCAGTCAGGGTACTCGTCTCAATCCTCTGCTAACTTGCTGTGCGACTCTGGCAAATTGTTTGGCCTCTCACTGTTTCAGTGTTTCTGTCTGTAGCATGGGGTAGAGGTGGTGAGAAATACCTGTTGTATAGACATGTGAGGATGGAACAAGGGAAGGATTTGAGGGGCTAGAGAATGTAGCTCAGTTGATAGAGTGCTTGCCTAGCATGCACAAAGCCCTGTGTTTGATCCTCAATATGGCATTTAAAACAAAACAAAACAAGATTTGAAACAACAAAAAGGAACTGGACCAGGGGGCAGGGGGGTGGTGCTGGAGAGATGGTTCAGCAGTTAAGAGCACTGGCTACTCTTATAGAGGACCAGGCTTTGATTCCAAGCTCCCACATAACGGCTAACAGTGGTCCAAAACTCCAGTTTCAGGGGATCCTACATCCTCTTCTGGCCTCCACAGACTTTGTATGACATGGGTGCACTTGCATACATGCAGGCAAAGCACTCATACACAGTAAATAAATGAATAAACAAACAAACAAACAAACTGGACCTGGTGGTGTGTGCCTGTAATCCTAGCACTTGGGAGGTGGAGGCCAAGAGGATCAGAAGTTCAAGATCATCTTTAGTGATAAAAGGAATTAGAGGCTAGTCTGGGCTACATAAGACCCTGTCCCCAAAAAAGGGGGAGTGTGACTTTACCCCCTGAAGGTCACCGTGCCAGTACAAAGGCTTTTGTGCAGAGAAGCCCTTTGCTTTTTGGGACCATCACCAGAACAGGAGACCAACACACACTGGAAAGGCCTCAGGCTGTGGCAGAAAGGCCTTAGGCTGCAGCTCCATGGTGGACTCCAAACCCTGCTCCTGGCTCACCATTCTTTTGTGACTGGGCTCCATGACATTGGACAGGCCATGTGTCCTCTCTGAGCCTCAGTTCCTCGCCATTTGGTGGCAGCTGAGGCTGCAGGAAGGGAGGTCTTGAGTGGGATACCTTAGGAGAGCTGTCCCTTGACACCTTCTGCTCTGCCCTCACAGTGGGAGCGCCTGTGGTTCCTGCTGCTCACCTGTACCTTTGGCCTCACGCTCACCTGGCTCTACTTCTGGTGGGAAGCCCACAACGACTATGATGAATTCAACTGGTGAGTGGGGGCAACCCCAGGCCTTGGGGCACTTCTCGCTTCTGTCTCTCGGCCTCCAGAGCTTTACTATCAGCTCTCCCCATGGCCTTGAGCAAGGCCTGCTCTGGGAGCCTCGGTCCTGCCCATATGTAGGGTTTCAGTGAGGGGTGTTGCCACAGGCTAGAGGACAGTGAGAGCTGTGCCCCCTAGGACTTGAGAATGGCTTCCTGGAGGAGGAGGCATGGGAACTAGCCTTAAAAGATGGCTGGGGCTCGCTCTCCAGACCCCTTGGGATTTATAAGAAGTGTCACTCCTCTCAAATGCCAGGCTGTGGAGAATAGATGAAAACGAGCAACACCAGCCTGACGTGGGGACCTCTGGTCCCCCTTTGTAGACAAGGCCCAGAGAGACCAAAGCCTTGGCAGAGGAGGCAGCCCCCAGCCTCAGGCTCCCTTGCTCCTGTGGCTGGACTAGCAGAGCTGGCAGGTGTCATGGTCTGATAACAGCTCTGCCTCCTTTGGGACACTTTAGGTCTGAGGGCAGGGCCCTCCCTCACCTCCTCTATTGCCAGTCTTTTGTTGAACACTAAAAGGCTGTGGGCCGAGGGGAGGACTAGGTGCTTCCGAGTATTCCTCCATTGACAGGTTTTAGAAACTGAGGCCCAAGGTCATAGCCAGGTCTAATCCCTCCCTATGAGTAAGCCCCTGTGCACTCTGTAAGATGGGGGGTAACCCCAGCCTCCTCAAGCTCTTATGAGGATGAGATTGGATGATGGATTGTGGGGTAGGGGAGGGACAGAGCTTCTTCTAAATTCCAGAGCTACTTCCTGGAAAGCCAAGTCTCCAGCTCTCAGAGCATGGGGCTCCTTGGACATTACTTCTGACGGGCTGTGGTTCTGGGATTCTGCCAAGATCCTAAGATTCTGTTAACAGGGCATGAAGTCTGGTCCACTTACCTCTGTGTGTCACCTCTGTGAATTGCTTTTCTCATCGCTACGACAAAATACCTGACAAAATCAACTTGGGAAGGATTTATTTGGGCTCACAGTCCCAGGGTACAGCCCAGCATGGTGGCAGGTGCTTGAGGCAGCTGGTCCTATTGTGTCAGGAGGCCTGGGCATTGAATGCTGGTACTCAGTTGGCTTCCTCCACTTGTGCAGTCCAGGCTGCCAGCCCATGGGATGGTACCAGTTACATTGGGGTGGGTGTTCCCACCTCAGTTAACTAAATCTAGAAACTCCCTCACAGAGATTTATCTCCTAAGTGATTCTAGTTTCTGTCAAGTTTGACAATCATTATTGACCATCATATTCTGCATAGCAGCAGGCTGGACCACTGTCTTTTTAAAAAATATTTCTGGGGTTGGGGATTTAGCTCAGCGGTAGAACACTTGCTTAGCAAGTGCAAGGCCCTGGGTTCTGTCCTCAGCTCCAAGAAAAAAAAAAAAAAATTCTTTTTTTTTCCCTTTTCTTTGGTCTTTTTGAGACAGGTCTCCCTCCAGCCCCAGCTGGTTTGGAACTCACTAGGTAGACCAGGCTGACCTTGAACTCACAGAGATCTGCCTGCCTCTGCCTTCTTTTTAATTATTTGTTTGTCTGTGTGTCATGATTTTGTTTTGGGCTACATGTGACCCACAGCCAGAGGTTAGACACACCTGATAGGTTGTTGCTGTCTTGGAGTGCTCCCTGCACTTGACAGGTCAGTGGGACCAGAGCAGCTTTCAGGAGTAGCTCCAGAACCAAGTCTTGGCCTTCTTCCTGCCTCAGTTTCCCCAGTTGTGCAGTAAGATCATCATGCACTCTCAGATGGTAGTTGGTTTTCCCATGGACCCTAAGAACAGGCCCTGGGAAGGGAACAGGGGTGGGGGGAGGCAGATACCTTATGGGGTCTTCCTGGTGTTTCCTCCAGTCCATGGGCATTGTACAGTGGCCTGGCACTGGCTGAGGTTCTCTAATTAATACCTTGAGCAAGTTGCTTCATCCGTTAAGCCTTTCTTTCCCTTGATGTATAAGGAAGCCAGTGGGTCATCTTTTTTAGGGGGCGGCCAAACTGCATTCTCCAAGACCCTTAAGAAGTCCATTCCCTCTGCCCTGTCATTCCGCTTCTAGGAATCCATTCTGAGGGAACAGTTAGAAATGCCAAAAGATGTATACTTTTTTTCATTTTTGTGTTAGTTTATAAAGTGAATTATTACAAGCTATAAAGTGCGATTAATGAGAAGCTGGCTAGATATAGAATGTGGATATATCACATGCTGCTTTTGAAAAAAAAAATCGCATTTCCTCAGCATTTTTAGACATGTCCCGAAGAGTTTATCCAGAACTGGTCATGAGTCTCCCTCCCTTCATCCTCTGAAACCCATGAAGGGTGATCCTTTATCCTCACCCTATAAGAAAAGGGACTAGAGCTTAGAGAAGTCAAGTGTTCATCTGATCAATTCTAAGGCCCATATCTTTTTATTTTACCATTGACCTTGAGATGAATGTCATAGTCAAGGGCATCTTGGAATCTGTGAAGCTGGTCACCTTTGCAAGGTCCTATGAGCCAGCAAGAGGCAGTGTGGGGACTGGAGCCCAGAGTGTGTTCATCCCTCAGAGCTGCATTGACCATGCTCCTGAGGGCCAGGAGGGGGTGGAGGTGGGTCCCAGTTCTGCTGTTCACACACATATATAGTTGCAGGGGCCCATGGGAAAGAAGTCTAACAGCCATAGGAATGATGATTCTGAGCTCTTCTCTCTGCTTTTTGATTACTGAATGTCCACCAGGAGTAGGCATGACCGATGATGAGGGAGACACCAGTTGCCAATAGGAGATGGTCAGGGCCTGCTTGCCAGCCCAGCTTGTGGTCCTCCACTGCAGCTGTATGAGAGCTGAGGCTATCCTGGATCCTGGGCAAGGCAGTGGCCCAGTGGAGGTCTGACTTCTGCCCTTTCTCCTCCTACCAGGTACCTCTACAACCGCATGGGCTATTGGAGCGACTGGTCTGTGCCTATCCTTGTGACCACAGCCACTGCCTTCACGTACATCGCAGGCCTCCTGGTATGGGGGAGGGCTCTCTCAGGGGCACATGGGCCTGCTTCCAAGGAGGGAAGCTTGTGCCCAGCTGATGGAAGGGCCTATGCTGGCCTACAGGTGAACTCCAGCTCTCTTGGGTATTGCTTGAGTCTGAGGCCTGGACCCTCCAGAATGAGAGGTCTCATTTTGCCAGTCTCCCTCAGCTGTCCCCTATGGAAGCCCCTTCCTACCTCCCAGGCCAGCAAGAGCCTCCAAAATCCACTGAAGACATGTTTTTCTAGAAACCACTTTGGGTTTCTGCTCCCAATGTCCTACTTACTGAGAGACTTGGGTTGATCCCCTTCTGTATTGGGGGCTCCTTGGGGACAGGGCTCAGGTCTGTTTCAGAATCCTGGGGCCCAGAGCTCCCAAACATTTGATGCATTAAGTTGGGCAGTTAGCATGCTGTAGGACCCAGTGACCCCTCACAGCGGAAATCCCAGAGGAGGCAGCTGGAGGCCTGGAGTAATCTGGATGGGGGCCAAGGCTGGACAGGGCTGGGCAGGGCATTCCTGGTGCCTGTGGGGAGGATTTACTGACTGCTCTGGGTCAGGCTAAGGGCAGGATTATGGAGCAAGTCATCTAGGGAAGCTGGCAAACTTTCCAGATACAGAGTCTCACTGACCCCCTGGGCCCCTCCTCAGGTCTTGGCACTATGTCACATTGCTGTGGGGCAGCAGATGAACTTGCACTGGCTACACAAGGTAAGGGGGGCCGCTCTGTCAGGGAAGGGGAGGGGAGACCCCACAGCAGAGGTGCAGCCTAGGAGCTCCTCCCTGGGTCACTACTGGTACCCCTCTGGTGATTACACTGAACTCTCACTGTGCCAGGCTCCGTTCTTCCTGGCTTGCATTCACTCACTTAACCCTCACAGCAGCCCTATGATGTAGGTAGGCACTGCCCCTGTCCTACTTTGCCAGTATGGAAAATGAAAGCCCAAGGTCTCCCAATGTGAGTGGAAGGCCAGGGTTCAGCCCTGCAGCCATGCACTGTACCAGCAAGGTTCACACCCCAGCTGCTGGCCTCCATTTTAAGGAGCTCTGGTGATGGTTCCTGGGATGACCCAGACTCCCTACTGTCCTGATTGGTCCTGCTGACTCCCTGCTGTTACCACAGGATACTCACCTCAGTTCCCACTATGGAACACATCACCCCCCCCCACCTTCTGCATGCCCCCTGTTCCTTGGCTTTTAGCCCCTTGCTCAGCACTCACTTGCTTTTTTCTTTGAGCCCTTTCCTGCCGGTGCCAGCCGGCCAAAATGGACAGTACCTGAAAGAGGGAGTGAGGATTGAAAGAAAGGAAAGGAGACAGAAAAGATTCTTGGGAGGGCTCACAGGGAATACTGCAGCCCCGATTTATTTCAGTACTGTCTTTTTATACAGAAGAACTCAATTAGTTACAACTGCTGTTTTTCCCCACCTGTATCTGAGGGTCAGGGAGCGGTCAGATCAAAGGCTTCCACTATTGTAGGTGTTGTGAGGCTCTCCATATAAACATATTCCTCCTAATAAGGCAGATTAGATACTGGCGTGCATAATACACACTCAGTAAACAAGCCTGACACAGCTGAATGATTAGCAGCTCCTGACATATCCCCCTTATTTTTATAACCCCAGATTATGCTATATCTGGGACAGAGGACCCGTGCCTGCCTTAGGTTGTCTTCTGCCAGAGCAAAGCCTTACCCGTCATTGGCACGTAGCTTCCATCAGCTATGCCCTGTCTTAGGTTGACTTTGTCCCAGAAGATCTTACCAGTCTTTGACTACTGGCCTCTGTTAGGGGAAGGAGTGCAATCTCATATCATGCACAGCTGCCTTGACTTGCCACAGGCATAAACAACTTTACTGCCACCAGAAGGAAACAAAGACAGGAGGAAAAGCATGTAAGGAGGTGCTCAGCCTTTTTAGAATATCTGCCGCTGTTTACAGGGTGGAGATGTGGGGAAAATTTTTGTTTTTTCTGTTATCTCTAGGCAATAACACGTTGACATTGGTACAATATCCACTTTGTCCCACAAGCACACTTATTTTTAACAAAACAAATAGGCAACCCACTTCCCAATCCAAAATAATCATCAGGTGTTTTGAAGAAGGCTGAGCAATTAACCAAGGGTCATTCACAGTCACTACTATCTCTTTTTTTCTCCCATATCACGGGGTGCAACGTTGTGGATCAGGAACATAAGTCCAGTATAACTCAGCCATGATCACTTGCAGGAACATCATCATCAGCCACGTCTGTCTCATCATTTTCTACTTTTTT